AAATATAGGCTTCCAGTTATGGAATGAATAAGCCATGGGAATAAAGGGCATAGTGTAAGAAATATAGTCAGTGATACTGTAATAGTGTTGTATGGTGTCAGATGGTAGCTACACTTGTAGTAAGCATAGCATAATGAATAAACATGTGGAATTACTATGTTGTACATCTGAAACTAATGTAATATTGTGTGTCAACTATATTAAAAAAAAGTCAAAAGATGTAAAATACTTGATCAAAAAGGATCACAAATAACTGTGAAACAATACTTAGTTATCCATTTAGCCAAATTAAAGATTTCAAAGGCAAATACAATAAGTTCTATAGGCCTAAAAAAAGGAACAGCTTTTTAAATACTATAAATGCTTAATTTTTCTAAGTAATCGAAGACCTAATAAAGACAATGTGAAGAACAGAAAATATTTTGATGAGATGCAGAATCTTGTTTCCTGGAAGAATACATTATAGGTAAAGACAAATCTTTGATAATCTTTTATTAATGGCAGACCCAAAATCTAAGAAATTCTATTATTTTTACAGAGAGAAAATTAAACTCCAGTTTTGTATCAGTACACTCTGATCTCATTTTAAAAACCTTTATAAATAAGTCATTTAATTTTAGCCACCTTTGACCTCACAACATAAAATTTCTTTTCCACAAAACTTCTGCAATTTACTATCCATTTAAGTTTTATCTTACTATTTTTCTTCTTATTCTGAAACAGTCATTTCATTTTAGGAAAGAATTACTCTCTTTTTTCCTTAACTAAAACACACCCTACATTCCATGCATATTCTTCATATAAAAACAGACATCCCATTTTCTTCCCATACTTTGTATACAAAGTTTTTTCTCCTCACTTTTATTATTTCTTAGGAGTTTTATTTTTATATGTGATTATAAATTTAAACAACTGGCAACCTCTACTTTACAGTGAAAATTAGAAAGCAGGCAATTGTGAATTGTTTCATAAGTTAGCATCCTATAATAGATTAGCCAATTATTACAAATACATAATTATAAAATTAAAATTTTTAGAGATATATTTTTTCATAGTACATTTTTTTTTTAGAGAGAGAGTGTGTGTGTGCAGGGTGGGGGTGGGAAGGGGCAGAGGGAGAGGGAGAGAAAATCTTAAGGGCTCCACACTCCCACATGGGGCTCAATCTCATGACCCTGAGATCATGACCTGAGTCGAAATCAAGAGTTGGATACTTAACCGAGTGAGCCACCCAGGCACCCCTTTTTATAGTTTTCATGGTACAGTTTTTAATGTGGCAAAGACATATTTATTAATAGACCTAAATATCCTTTGTCTCTCTATAAAAAATTAAGAAGCCAAAAGTAGATAAACTTAGGTTTAGCAATTAATGTTTCAGTATATTATCTTATCTGGAAATAATCTAAATATTAAATGAATATCCATTATTTAGTTTAACTTAGCATAAATTTCTATCACATTTATACCTATTTAAATTATTTTTTAAATTGTGTTTGTGTTACATACTAAACAACTAACCATCATTTTAAGTTATTTCTCTTATTGACAAATTCTGTAACATAGAGAAAATATGAGCTTATTTGATTAGTAATAGGCAGAAATAGTTATATTTTTGGATTACATTTAATGTTGACAACACTGAAGACATGCCTATTTTTATAAACTCAGAAAACTTAAGCTAGTTTTAATTTATAAAAATTTATCTCCCACATTATGTGAATTTGAAAAAAAATGGGTTGGTTTCTATATTTCTGAGCTTTAGGAATACTTAATTTGTGTGAGAGCTTATTTTTTAAGCCAAGTAAATAGAACACTTTTTAAAAATATGACATATACATAATATACATACATACATACATACACACATATACATAAACATATAAACAGACACAGAGATCTTATAGCTTGCATTTTTAAATTTTAGCCATGTCTCACATACAATAATATAAAATCTGAAAGAACAGTTTGATCCAAATTGTGTTTCTGGAAGATGGACTAAGTTAAGGTTATCTGCTCAGATGTTCAAAAGTTTTTTACTGAAGATTTTTATTTGTGCACTGTATGGATTATTTTAGAGAAACTATTTTTGGAATCATTTTGTCTTTTAGAAACTTATGCATACAGGAGTGCCTGGGTGGCTCAGTCAGTTAAGCGTCTGCCTTCAGCTCAGGTCATGATCTCAGGGTCCTGGGATCTAACCCCACATTGGGCTCCCTGCTCAGTGGGGAGTCTGCTTCTCCCTTTCCCTCTCCCACTCCCTCTGTGTGCTCTCTCTCTCTAATAAATAAATAAATAAATCTAAAAGAAAGAAAGAAAGAAAGAAAGAGAAAGAAACTTATGTATACCAATCAAAAAATGCATTCTGTGGTCTCCAAGAGGTCTGGGATCCTCATTTCAAGAGTGCCCCTTAATGTGAGGTATCTTATCTAGGTTAAAGTTTCCCCAAAATGGCCACTAAAGTTCCAAATTATCCAAAAGTTCACCCATTTTGCATCTAAGGCTCAAGATCCTGGTCTATAGTGTTTATATAGGAAGTAGGAATTTCTGAGGGAGGTGAGAAAATTTTAGGACAGGTGGAACTATCTTTGTCTCTAGGTTCCTTAAAATGACAAGTCAATGGGGAATATAGTGATTAACTCTTGCCCCAAAATCCAGAGAATCCTGAGTTTTTTCCCTTATGGACTGAAGTGTGACTTACCACAAGAGCTTCGAAAAACATAATGCAGATATACACAATAAAGTCAGGGAATTCTGACTTTGACCTAAGAGAAACTTACCCTCTCACTCTGCAGTTAGGAAGAAAGCAGTGAGTACAATGAATTCCATGGGTACAAGCACATGGTTGCTCATCAACCTCAGAGGTATTGAAGGGGGGGGTCATCTCTGTATCCCACTTTTGACACCAGAAACTGTCAAACATCCAAAAACAGTAAAAATTAAAACCAGTTCAGAAAATAGTATTTACTAAGAGTTTATTGTGCACATAACAGTTTACAAACTAGGAGCCTTCAAACCAATGTTTATTGAAGCTCAGAGGTCTGACATTGCAGGATGGCTTGTAGAGTGAAAATGAGGAAGTGTTTTAACCTTTACAATGATTGGTTATCACAACAGGGGTTTCTAGATGGCAGAGGATTGGTTAAGAGTGATTATTTTACACCATTTTAGGAAAATGGCCTGTTTCTTTTATGGTTATCAAAGCAATATATTTATAAGAAATAATGTAAATTTTGCTTATGTTCATGATATAAATGAGATTTAGTTTTGTTACATGGTTTAAATGCTTTTGTCTGGTTAGGGGATTTTCAAGCCAAATATCCATTTATTTTACTTTAAAACTATTATAAAATCTCAGTGTTAAGTTTCAAAATATTTCAATAGTGATGACTTTATCTTTTGGTGATGACTTGGAATTATGGTCTTTAAAAAGTCTTCTTCAAAGAGAAGTATAATATTTCATATTCAGATTCAAGCCTGAAAGAAGAAACAGTGTATTAAAGATTTCTAATAGGCTCAATGTTCTTACAATTGGCAATAGATGAAATCACTGTCTTTGATATCCATTTGGGAAATGAGTATTATCTTCCAAAACAGTTTCCATATTAATAAAACTGACAAATATTTGAAGAATGTAGAAAAAAGGGAATCAGTTGCTACATAACTCTCACTTAGTAAATATTTGTTGAATTAACAGATTTTTCCTCAGAGTACAGAGGTGCTTGATTGCCCTGATCAAATTATCACAAGTTCTGTTAAGCAGATTCAGAATTAGTAGAATTTTTTCTTGAGGTGGTAAAACAAAGTGGAAAAGAACACAGATTTTGGAGAATAAAAGTCTTTGAATCGAGTTAGTCCTCCAGTTCCTATTAACTGCATGATGATAAATTATTTAATCTCTAAACCTCAGGTTCTACCTCTGAAAAAAAAAAAAAAGGAGATTGTAGCAAGTATCTTTTGGGGTGAGGTCAAATACAACCATTAATTAAAGCATTTAACACAGTAGTGGCCATGTAGTGCATGAAACTATTGTTATTTCTCCACAGTTTTTAATGGTTTTCAAAGAAACAAATTAAGAAATGTAAATATATCACAACATTGAATGACTATTAAACAATAATAGAAGAAATTCACTTTCTTTTGACAGAGAATGAATGATGCTGCATGATGGTTGCCTTTTCTATTGCTGACAAATCAAATGTAGCTTGCTTTACACATATTGAATTCCAGGGCCCCTTCTAGAGTACTTGGGGTCAGCATCACGTGCCTGAGTTACTCAGGAGAGTTTAAGTCAGGTAAGAAGATCCTTGGTCAGAGGCAGCATAGGTCTAGTATTTCTAGAACCTAGACTAAACAAAGTGCCAGGAAGATTTAATTTTATGGATGCTATTGGTGAGCACAGACAGAAAGTCTTTGAAGAAGGGTGGCCAGTATGAATCATTATTCTCAGCAAGTGACCTTTCTTGCAAAGGTAGACAACAGGTGTGGTACTCATGCAAATGATGGAAAAGGATGACTCATTGTACTTTAATTTATATTTTAGTGTGTAGGAATGTCCCAATTCAGGAAAAAGACAAAAGCCTTATTATTTCTTTGGCAGCTTTTTGTTTGTTTTTAACCCTGTTTATCTTCCAAATTAGATAAAATAACAGAAATAGAGGTAAGGTTCTTAGACAGGCTTAGATAAGAGAAAAGCCTGTGAAAATTCTGCCTGAAGTAAAATGGAAGGGCTGCCTTAACTGGAAAGAGTGTGATTCATGCTGTCAGAAACTGGACCAAAGATAATGGTCATATAATGACCATTTTCTTTTTATTTCATAAAAGTATGGATACATACATATGTTTTTTCTTTTTCAACTTAAAGACTAGTAACATAGGAATTTTTCAAAATATTTAAGATTGTTCTATCATCTAGAAAAATCTAAGACTTTCAGGCAAATAAGAATTGAGCCATTATCTTTTTCCCTTTCAACATGTTACTTTACTTTTGTTAAAGGATCTTTTTAAATATGGAACTCTTCATGAATTTGCATGTCATCCTTGCACAGGGGCCATGCTAATCTTCTCTATATAGTTCCAATTTTAGTATATGTGCTGCTACAAGTGAGCACTTGTTAATGAATTTTAAAGACTAAATTAGTTAAAAATGAGGAAGAATTCAAATGGTGATAAATAACGGTGAGTAATAATGCAGCACAGTGATATATAAAACATGTATTATTTGGGACACAAGAGAATGAAAACTGTATGGCACCGCTGAATGACAGCACAAGCACAGAGCAGCCTAACATCAGTAATGAAGCATTATCAGGTCAGTCTATCCTTGACCACAAATATTTAATGCTTTTTAATCAGCTCACAAAATTGAGTCTTACCACTCCTTGGAAATCCATGACAAAAAGGAGCTCTTTCCCAGTTTTTATAACAGAACATTTTAGGAGGAAGATGGAAACATGTTAGCCTTTTCTCCAAGGAACCAAGTGTTGTCCTTTTAAATGAATGAATGAATGAATACATACATACATACATACATACACACAGACATAAAAGGAAGGCTGGCCCAGGAAGGCTGATTGTTTAGTTCTTCCAGGTATACAATTTCTCCCAGCAGCCTGGTGGTCAGTTGCAAATAAAACAATCATAAATTGTTTGCTTTCACTGTCATCATTTAACCCTTGCTTCTGAACTAGGTCCAGCATTTTTTGTATCACTGCTGAAGCACCATAAATTATACTTGCAGGAGCCCTTCAATGACCTGTTTGGAGAGACTGGTTAAGGGGAATAAGTCTAGTGTGGATTTTTGGCACCAGAACTTGGTATGGTATGACTCAGGATACAGGAAATATAAAAGATTGCTTCTCTCCCTATGGTTTTGAAAAGAGGGCAAAACCCATGTCAGGAAATTTCTTGTTGCTGAAGAATGAAGAGATTCCCAAAATACAGGGAAAAACACATAGACTTACAAATAAAAGTTGGTCTCAAATTTCAAGGATATAGGGATATTCTTATTGTTTGAGTAACTACTGCAGTGCAGTTTCCCTTAAACTACACAGCACATAAATGTTTCTAAAAATTTTCTGAGAACAGAATCCAACGGAGGAAATTCATCCCAAAGCAAAGCTACCAACTCATGTTTCTTCCAGTTTCTATGCTATATTCACCAACCATCCATCTCCAACACAGCAACCCACTCCTACCCTCCAGGACACTAGGGAACACAAATAGATGAATAGAAATAAACAACAGTAAATCACACATTGCTCTTAAGTCCCAGGTGAAAGAGGATATTGGATGGAATGAAACCTACCCTGGTCAATCCAGGAATAAGCCAGCCAAATAGAGGAAGTGAAGACTACAAAGAGAATATAAACAACTCTATCTTTCAACATTTACTGACTGTTTTAATAGTTCACAAATGAAGAGTCTGTGTTAATGTGTGTCATCCAAGACTGAAATAAATGTTCAATGTCTAAAACTATCAGCCAATGAATCAAAATCAATAGTACTCAGATCAAATTTCCAGGAAGGGACAAAATAAATGGATTCATATAGGTACATCATAACAGCTCCCAGATGACTCCTAGGGAGAAAAAGAAAATCGGTAGCCTAGAGTATTTTAGGATGGTTAAATGGGAAATTGTGTCAACATGAAAATCGCAATGATTTACCAAAGATCCACAAACACATTCTCTTGGAATCTTTAATTAGTGGTGTGAGCATTTAGGTGTTTGGGATTACTGAGCAATCTTATTTTGTAATTATTTGAAAACTGCTCCCATCTATACTTAAGAGTTCCCATGGTTCTTTTTATGTCTGTTTTGTAGAAATTGCACTCTACTGTGTTTCAGTTATGTTTTTACTTCTCCAAGGAGGATTGTCATTCAAATAGAAATGGACCCAACCACAAATGTTAAAAGTTATAAATTAAAATATGTGCTATTTTTTCCTCTGTAAGCATTTCTATATTTTACAGATTTCTTATTATTTTATCTAGGAATAATTAATATAAGATTGGAAGATTAGAGATACATTGTTTGAAAAAGAATTAATGCTATGTTTAAAAATGGTATTTTGGGGGGGGCGGAGCAAGATGGCGGAGGAGTAGGAGACCTAGATTTCGTCTGGTCTCAGGAATTCAGCTGAATAGGGATCAAACCATTCTGAACACCTACGAACTCAACAGGAGATCGAACAGGAGAGTAGCAACAACTCTCTGAACAGAGAAGCGACCACTTACTGGAAGGTAGGGCGTGCGGAGAAGTGAATCCAAGGCGATATTCGGGAGGATAGACGGCGGGGGAGGGGCCTCCGCCGGCCGCTTCTGGCAAGTGCTAGAGCCGCGGAGCACAAAATCGGAACTTTTAGAAGTTGGCTCGGCGGAGGGACGTCGCTGCAGTGGCTAAGCGGGGGGTGGAATCTTCCCGGGACAGTGTGGTCTCAGGACCCTTGGGGTCACAGAGAGACCGGGGGTGCCTGAGTGCGCCAGAGCTCCCAGGTATCGGAGCAGGGAAGCCGGCTGCAGAGACGGAGCCGAGGCGCGGGCTCTCAGCTCGGGGTTGCCATAAACTGTGATCTGCGGCCCAGTTGGGGCACGGCTCCCCCAGCAGGGACCCAACAAGCAGCAGATCCGGGGAGACTCCCCTTCCTTCCCGGGGAGGAGCGGTGCGGGAACGCACTGCAGGGATCTGCTGGGTTTGGAGACTCCGTGCGGGGTCGGGTACCAGAGATAGCAACGCTCGATCACAGGCTGGGTGAGCACCGAGTGCGGCCGGAGACCGGGGACACGGAAGTGACTGCTTTTCTCTGGGGGCACATTGAGGAGCGGGGCCCCGAGTTCTCAGCTCCTCCGGGCGGAGATTGGGAGGCCACCATTTCTGCCCTGGTCCTCCAAAGCTGTATCGAGAGCTTGCAGGGAACAAAAGCTCCTGAGAGCAAACCCGAGCAGCTTGCTTAGCCCGGACCGACAAGGGCGGGGCAATTCCGCCTCCGGCAAAGACATTTGG